CATCCAAGGGAGAACTAGCCTGCCCCCCCCAGGGAGGTTAGGGGGGTGGTTAATGACGAGCGGTCAGTCCCACCCCACACTTGTTTCTTGTAAAATTTTTCCCCAATCTTTATTTCTTGGTTCGTATATAATTAGAAGGAGGGGGTGTGTGTGTCCGCGTGCGTGTGTATGTGTGTGTACGCGGAGCCGTGTGTGTTCAGTTATTAGTTTTCTTCGGAGTTCGGGATGCTTTTGTTAGATTTCGATAATTCGCGACAGTGAAGGCATGGGGTGGTAGAAAAAATCAATATGGCGGCATGAATATGCCACGTCGGGGTTATTAGGGATTCTCTGTTTATGCTGACTCGTTTTGTTTAGGATTATTCCCATGCGTTATTGGGCAACCGGTGACTGATGTTGCTACGCTGCATGAGATACACCAGCATATTTTTTTTTCAGACTAAAAAGTTTGAGGGCCTACTAAAAGAACTTCTAAAACTTTAATAGCATGTGTTTTTGATAATTTAATTCTATTTTTAAACGTTAAAACCGATTAAGTAGCGTTTTTGATTGATTAGTGGACGTTTAAGGAAACAAGAACATATATCGCTCAGATTCCAAGATTAAAACACACTCAATCGAGTAACTGAAACAACGAAGGTGTACTTAACATCCAAACCCGAGATAATATGGAAAATATCATTTTCTTTGTTGATCAGACCGCAAATCGGACCCAGGACTTCATGATACATGATGCGTACGTGCGAGACACTGAGATCGTTAAAATAAGGATTTCACATAACATATTAGTAAAAATACAAATATAAATAGATCACTGACATACGGCCGGTTTCTGAATTGAGAAAAGTTCAAAATCTCAACTAACTATTCTCAATAATATAAATTTTCTACGTTTAACACGGCAAAAAGGTGTGTTATCAAACTGTTGTCAACTAATCATAAAAAAAAAATATCGGAAACGAAAACCTGTTTAAATGACTTAAGTACGGTTTGAGACGTACTTAACTTTAAATTCTCAATTCAAAAATCTGCTGTAAATAAATCTGTCTGCGACGACATCTTCTCCACTCTTGGCAAGACTCGCGTGGCAGAAACGAATTTTCATTTTGAAATTTGACATTCTATTATTCGACCAGAGGGTTTTGCCCACGGCTGTGCACCTCTAGCCATGACTAGTGTCGCACTAGCCACGAGTCTAGCCATTGAATACGACAACATTGCGATAGAAGGGCAACATTTCGGTCTGGGTAAAAAAAAAAGAAATTCTATTTAGACCGTCAGGTCAGATAATAGAATAATATTAGAAAAGTATTTTGTTTTGCTTTAATTAAACAAAAAATGGCTTAGAGAAAAGGCATTAAAAGAGAGGGGCCTCGCTACGTCACAACTATGTAATAAATTTACAAAGTTGTGACGTCATGCGATATTTCAACTCAATGTATTGTCGTAATTTATTGGTTATGCCAATAATACCTGTTTAATATTCTTATCCAACGGACAGACTAACAAAATCATCATCCATATTGGAGTCTGATACCCAAAAGTAGACACTCATTTTGCCAGATTTTTATGAAGGCATGTTACTTGTATATAATATATTCGTCAGTGGAATGATTTTAATGTATTTTTAAGATTTTCAATGACTAAGAATGAATCTGATATAACATGGATGGATATCGGCCGCGGAACGTCATAATTAACAAAAATACGATATGACATTCCACTCGACGGAAAAGCCGTCGTGGTACTAACGTAGTAAGTATACATGAGATGCTTGACAGAGCTTTCATCAGATTTGCACCAAGCTTAAAATCTAAAGAATTTAATAAAATTTATTTCGAACTATTCATGAAAACATGATAAAACTATTTGATTTGTGGTAGCATTAATTATATATGTTGATATTGAATTGATCTGATAACATAATTAAAATAACATAATCAAAAGTAGATCTGAGATCTACACATTAATCTGACAGATAAGCAAAAAAAATTATAATCAATAAATTTTCAAAAAACCTAAATACAAATAAAGTGACACTTTAATCTTTGAACTGGTTCCCATCTGGAAATGAAGTCCAGCTGTTAAAAATAAGAAAACTATATCATATTTCGAAAGATATTAGTCAAAACGTGAATTTATGAAATTTTCGATTAACCCAACATTTACAATTTTTTCGATGTATTGTCGGAATCTATACTCTAACTTAACGAATATGGAATTTCTGTACATACGAGTTACCTTACAACCGAGAGCTATATGCAACACTTTTACTATTATGTACCTAATTGGCCCTATTCTTCTTTTTACCGGGTACATTGAGATACAACAGCTTTAATGACGAAACAATACGGAATACATTTAGGACTTTATTTATGAGTTAATAAGGTGGAATCACCAGAGACATCTATTGAAATTATTCTAAATTTATAATAAAAAACCTTTCGTTGCGACCCCCGTATTGATTCCAGGCCTGACTCATAAATATGTAGTGGCTCGTGACGTCCAAACGCTAAGCTTTGCCGACCGCAAGAAGGCAGTAATGAGGCATTTAAACTCTGATCACCTATTCCGATAACATTTTTCCTTTTCGTCAAATTGTATCTGAGTAAGACATTCGTTAAATGTATAATTCGGAAACTCCAAACTGTTTTTTTTATCTACTTAATGTATCACTTGACAGACCTTGTGCAGTCGAATACAAATATTAAGAGTCCAATAAAAGCTTTTTAGTTTTTTACTATCTTTTCTACTATTAATATACTATAACATTATAAAAAGGAAATATTTGGTTATTTGATTGCATTGAATACACTCCGAAACTACCGTGACCGATTTTTAATATTATTTCACTTCTTATCTTCTACATCATACACGTGTGTAAATAAACGCGAGTGAAGGCGCGTGAAAACAGCTAGAGAGTAATGTTATCGTAACTTTGTTTATTTTGATTACAGAATAAATTTTAAATCAATAAATAAATAAATATCGGACAACATCACACACATTGTTCCGATTCTTAGGCACTTTTGTTACGGATATCAGAAACAACGGGGGGAATACAAATATATACATAATAAAATAGAAAACATCCAGATACAGAACAGACATAATTTTTAATCACAAAAATGTTTGTCCTTTGTGGGCATCGAACCCACGACTCTAGGCCTAATAGTAGAAACGGTACCACCGTGCCATTGAGCTATATGCAAGCTATAGGCAACAAAAGGAAAAGCTTTTTTTATTTATTTTATATTGAAATATGAATATAAGAAATTTGGTATTTATAAACATTTGCATGTTTATTTTATTAATAGTACTAAACAAATTGAAGGTATATTGTCAATAATCGGTCAACGACCCCGGGTTTATTAAACAGCTTTTTTTCTCCTCCGATATAAGAAAGAGATTAAAAAAGAGAAAAAAAACCTCATAAATAATTATCTACAATAATGAACATAATAATCTAATTTATGCACTGGTTACAAATATTTTCTTGTATATTTTTAGTAAAGAGCTAAATGGCGCTGTGGTCAGCGCGCTCGGGCTGCGATACGGTTGTTAAGCAACTCTCGTAATGGCTAGTCAAAAAATAGGTGACCAAAAACTTATTTTCTCGAGCTTCTCCGTATTTTGTAACGCACGTTAAGCTGGTGGTCTCGGCTGCATCTGCAGTCGTTAAGCCACCAATCCGCACTGGGTGGGTAGGTCAAGGTGGCCCATTCTCACTATTCGATTCCATCCATTCGGAAGGCCAGAGCCTCAGCAGTGATAACATTAACGTAGTGCCTTATGCTAAATAATTTCCTCAGCGTAAAAAAAGGCTGGTGATAATTATATTTTTTAAAGATGACATAAAGTGACATTTCTTTAAACTAAACGAATGTTTCACCACGAGAATTTAAAAGCAACATAACAATAAGTTGATAAGAATAGGTTAGAATAGGTTAGCCATAAAACACATCGCTATTCCATTTACATCTCATAAATACATTAAGTTCCGGGTAATAAACATACAATAAAATGCGTATTTCGGTTTGATTGTTAACTATTTTCGATATTTCGTTAACTTTATCGCGTTTGGTCCTGCTCTGTGGTATTGAAAATACGTAAGTAGAAACGGGATAGACCACAAAACAATAATGACATTGGAGTTGTACTCTCAATCCGATTATCGATATTATCATCATGCTCTGTCCTACTCTACTGCATTAATCAATAGACGACGTCGATGTCGAGTGTCGATCGAAGTGTGCAAACCCTAATAATAACCCTTTCATAATCTACATCTGTACTCCTATTCCTAAAAGTGTGTTACCAATAGGCGATACCCAAAAAACTTTGCAATTAAAAATAACGATACTGATATGTAATAATCGTGAAACTACGATATCTAGCAATTTCCACATCCAGACAGTATCCGTAAAACCTCCGTAAAACCCGCACACAAATTCACACGTAAAAACGGCAACAAAAAATTCTTAGAATCACCAATATTTTTGATTGAGTTGAGTGGTGATTTTACAATGGGCGATGCATTGATCCGGATTCTATTAGATAATATGTAGTTTATATTATTTCTTTTTGAAATAATTATAATAATGGATCATACTTCTTCAGTTCAGTTCAGACTAGCTGTTTTCCTGCGACTTCGCCCTTGTTGATGTCGCTTCCCGTAAATAAAAGAAAATTTTAAATCGGTCGAGTAGTTTCGGAGCCTATTCATTGCAAATATTCAAACTAATCTTTTCTTTTATAAAATTAGTACATAAAAATATGTAATTTAATAAAAAGAACTCTATTTTGTCACTGGCGTTGTGATATTGACATAATAATAAGCAATTCAAACACATTAATATATTTTAATGAACATAATCTTCGTTGTGTAATTTACCTTGAAAACGAACGAGGTGACCATTAGACAAAACCAGCTACACTACGTAGTGTACGCAAAGTTCATAGGGGCCAACCGTATCAGTCACATTAATTCACTCGCGACAATGACTGTGTTATTGTACCTTGTAGTAGAATATTTAATTAAAACTATTTTCTATTCAGTGGTTGTGATTATTATAGCCATCTTTGGCACGAGACTGTGGGTTGAACCTTTTAAGGCAGTGTGTAAATGCAAGACGAGCCTAAAGGGGAAAGTCGCACTCGTCACAGGCGGAAATGCCGGCATAGGATTAGAGACTGCAAGAGGTCTAGCTAAAAGAGGAGCCAAAGTCATAATAGCAAGTAGAGACGAAGAAAAATCTAAAGAAGCAGTAGCTGATATCATCAAAACAACAGGAAACTCAAATGTAGAATATAGACGTTTGGACTTATCAAAATTTTGGAGTATCAGAAAATTCACAGATGATTTTAATAAAGCATTCGATAGATTGGACATCCTTGTCAACAATGCTGGAGCGGGAGGTCTAGCTGAATCCCTCAACGAATACGGTATTGACCGTGTGACCCAAATCAATTATGTGGGACCATTTTTACTAACCAATTTGCTTCTTAAAAAATTGATACATTCAAAACCTAGTCGAATCGTTATAGTTTCGTCATATGCAAATAATTTGCACAGCTTCGATATAAAGGATTTGGTTGGTAAAAGAAAAATAGGTATTTGGAAGAAGTATTGCAACACTAAAGTATGCAACATCATGTGGGCAAAAGCTTTAGCAAAGCGTTTGCCTGAAGGTGTCACTGCGAACTCTTTACATCCAGGTATTGTGAAAACTGATATATTCATAAGACTAACGAAGTATTTAAAAATAATTTTGACATGGGTGATCGGTGCATTCTTTAAAACACCAGAAGAAGGTGCACAGACTTCCATTCATCTGTGCGTAGCTCCCGAATTAGCTGAAGTAACTGGCAAATATTTCTCTGACTGTAAATTAAGTGATCCTGCAAAAATTACTACGAATGACCAGTTAGTGGATCAGTTGTGGGAAGAAACTATGCTGTTGGTGGAAAATAAGTATTAGATAACTTATCAACAAACTACATATCATGTTATGTGGGTTGTTGGATATATAATGGTTTTAAGGAGGTACTTGGAAAAAAAAGATTCAAGATTCAAAACAAGAATATTCTTCAAAGCATAATTTCTAAAATTATTTGTTTTCATACTCTATGGAAAATACGGGTAAAATAAACGTTTTAATTTGTTATTGTGTGATTGTATTAATTGTTTTCCTATAAGTCCAACATCAATATTTAGTAATATCTAAGAAAATATAATTAAAAATGAATGTCATCACCTAAATAATTTTCAATACCAAAATATAGTGAATATATTTTGACTTAAGACATTTCAAAAGTTTACGTGTGAAGTTGTTTTGGTAGAATATCATAATAATTTTGTGAGTTAAATTATCACCTAAAACCAGTTTTAGATAAACCAGTTTTTCTTATTACATGTGATATATTAACTATCATTATATATGTATGAGATGGCGTAGTGGATAAGCGCCGTGGTCCGCGTTCGTTGTTGTTAAGCTAATTTCGCAAGGGGCGGTCACGGGATGACCAAAATATTATAATCTTAAACTACTCCGTGCTTTAGAAAGCACATTAAGCCGTTGGTCTCGGCTGCATTTTTGTCAGTTACTACCCTCCAATCCGCATTCGGCCAGCATCGAGGTTCATTTAAACATTCATTAGGAAAGCCTGTGCCCCTGCAGTGAGAAAGTAAAAATGCTGATAATGAATGAATGATATATGTATATCGTAACTCAATGTTGTTAAATAGCAAAATAACAAATCTGTTCAACATTTTATTACAAACATTATATTATAACAGGGTTTTATTACCTACAATTAAATTAAAGGTAGGTTTTATAAGCAGTTATTAAAACCTTTTTCATAGTTTTTGTATACTTTTTATATTTTCTTTTGTAATTTGTTGTATTTAAACAAAATTACATAAGTTTACATTTATTGCAAGTTCGTCAAAAATCGGTAGGGTTGTCCGGTGTACTTCGCTAATTTACAAACAATTATGTTAATTTCACTGCTCACGCAGCTTGACAGGGTTTAATAACATTTTGTTTAGGTTAGGTTAGATATTATCAAGTTTCATTTTTGTTCTTTTATTTTAAGAGGTACGATTGTTTTCAAATTTTTTGTCTATAAGGTTTGTATGCTGTTAATATAAGTTTTAAATGTCCTGCCATAAATAGAAATACCATACTTAATAATGGAGTCACCCAATGCATTATATAACACGAGTAATGTTTTGAAGGGTATTCTACTTTTAATAATGATTAGGTTCGCTATAAATGTTCTTAGTTTATCACCACACTGATGTGGGATTGCCAGTTAATTTTGTAATCTATCACTATTCCAAGATATGTGTTCTTATAGATATATTATCTAAGTGCCTACTGAATTAATTTAAATTAATAAGTATTATATAATTTTAATGAAACATAGTGTTAAAGATAGGTATATGACAGATTTTATCGCTATAAATAGACAATTAAGAGCGATGAAAACAGAAATCTACGCGAGTGAAGCCGTGGGTGGTAAGCTAGTATAGTATAAATATTAGACTACATCACATAGAAAATTATGTTCAGTATACTAATATAAATGAAAAAAGACCCTGAAAATGTGTTTTTTTAACTAATAAATATATGCAAACATTTTTAAAGGATATACAACATTATTTGTTTGCCTGCATTGAAGTCTTCGAAACTACTGCACGGATTTTTAAAATTCTTATACCTACAGGAAGCTACAAGCTGAGGGTGATATAGGCTCGGGTATGCGTAACGCTTTTGTCATCGAGAAAAAAAGGTGATGAAGGTGAACGAAGTCACGGGAAATCAACTAGTATCATGATGGTATATTTATTACACTTTTTTTACAGTAATTGATTAGCAAATATACAAAATTAAATAATACAACTATGGCCGAATGTCCCTCATTCATCATGGCGGCAAATTAGTTTGTTTCGTCTACTATCAATAAAAATAAACGTGGTAGTGGGTAGGTACAACGCTGTGTCGTGTTATTGCGACTCTAAAGCGGGCGTATGTAATTAAATAATGGAGTATAGTAAAAATATTAAATACTAAAGTTAAAATTGTGTATTTATCTGTAAAATTACTAATCTTAGAAACTATTTCTTGGAATTGAAAAATAATATTTTTATGTTGAATAGTCCATTTATTCATTAATTTAGGAAGGCTAACATCACGCTATGACTAATAAGAGTGGAGCAGCACAATGCAGCAATAGTGAAAAATGTTGCAAAATCGGGAAAATATAATCATACATTTTGTTTGAATTGTCATTCGTTCAACCACTGTATCATCCTTTCATTCATTGAATGGGGTGCTTATTATATGAAATGTGGATTCTAGATTTGCTCACTCACTTCAACATCTGAAGTTTTCTATTAATAGTATTAAAACTACCTTTCATTTCACCACCATCGTCGTTTCGGAAAATCTACATATAATAATAAATAAATAATAAATAAATAAATATTTAACAACATCACATACATTGCTCAGATTCCAAGATGAGTAGCTAAAGCCCCCGTATTATGGAGTATCTGAGACAACGAAGGTACCACAACACCCAGACCCGAGTCAATATAGAAAAGTTCATTTTCTACATTGACCCGACCGGGAATCGAACCCGGGACCTCAGAGATGGCGACACCTTGAAACCGGCTTGCGTACCACTCGGCTACGGAGGTCGTACTCGGACGATAGTCTACTTGTATTCGAATCATTCTTATTTTATTATCCCGATATTCGTGAACATTATCTCAGTACTAGCTTTTGCCCGTGACTTCGTCCGTGTGGTTTAGTTTCTTTAAAAACGCAAACACGCTGAACTCGGCCAGCGTGAGTAAAAAATATAATTAGGTAACCAACAGTTACAAGAATTTACTTTCTCAGAAACCTTAAAAAGTAGAAATAAAACAACTTTTTAGTAGCTTTTAAGTTGATTGATTGTTTGTCGGTGTTTGGTAAGAACGCTTGTTTTATAGTACAAGAGCTCGTAATAATAAATGAGCATGAGATTCGTAACCGTTGACACTTCAGTATGTGAAAGTACTGAGAGTATACATCACTCATTACCCAATGCGGAAGACTGAATGTATTTACTCAGCGAAATAATGTATTTTACTAAGCTAAAAAATGTAGACCTATTCAAATCTTCCCAAATAGGTACCTAAAGAAACAAAAGATTTTTATTCAATATTATAAACGAGGAAATCAATTGTTCGCTTTGCGATGCGGAAGTTAAGCAGACTTTCGCTATAGCCGGTCATAGGATGGGTGACCAATTTATTATCTTGACCTCCTCCGTTTTTCGGAAGGAACATTAAACCGTTGGTCTCGGCCGCATTTGCAGTCATTAATAACCACCATCAGCACCGTATGGTGGCTCATGTCATGACCCAATGTCCCTATTCGATCGGATACCATCCTGACATCCCCCAGCAGTGGATACATTAACAGACAGATAATGATGATCATTATCGACCTGTTTCTGAAGTAGAAATAATGAGCAACTTTTGCTCCTGTTATTTTTTAATGACGTAATGATAAAATTCCAGAGTGTGGTACAAACATTGTTGTAGGCCGTTGACAATATCTAAAGTAATAAAAAAAACCAATGCGTGTTACTGCATATTATGACCTACTACTTATAGTTTTAGTTAAGATATTCCTTATCAAATTATGTTAAACGAGTTCTTGTGCTATCGTTTGACAAATAAGCAAATAGATGTATAACCGGCATTTTAAATATCAAGCTTTCCGCCAGCGCCTTTGCTCGCATGGTTATTGCAACATTTTTCATTGCTGCTCCACTCCTTTTAGCCATAGCGTGATGTTATATAGCCTAGCCTTCATATCAGTAACAGTTCTCCGTGGGCGATCGGAGCGACGTGCATCTTTGACATCAAAATTTCCGGACTGAAAACCAAATTTGTGCTATTCTCACAGAAGCTACACTAGGGCCATAAATGTTACAAATTTATTTCGCGGCTCGCGTTGCATTTTCACCTTTAAAAGTGTATCGAAATTCATCATTAGACTGACTTATTTTGACAGTAAGAAAAACAAAAGAAATTCACAAATTTTGCCTACATTGAATTTGAAGTTATCTTCTTTAAAATTTAAACTTTTTATTGATACCGAAACCAGCCAGATACAAATGGTATAGCGAGAAATATTATATTACAAGTTTATACATATTATAATACTTTGACTGATCATATGATCATCTTTCTTGTGATAGACATTTAGTAAACAAAGGTGTCACTGCCCGTGTCTACGGATATAATCTAATCAAATAGGGAAAATTGGCTTTGATTCACCTACGGACCCAGTGCGGATTGTTGTTAACGACTACAGCTGCAGCCAGGACCAACGGCTTAAAACCTTAAGAAGCATAGACTTCGAGATAACAAGTTTTTGGTCCGATAACCGGACTTTGCGATAGGAACTCATCCATACATTGAATGTATTTTTATGTATTCCAAATTTTTCATAGACTAGAGGTGTAATACTTATTTGATTGAACCTACTTTAAAAGATAATAAAGGTAATAGCTGTGCTCATAAAAGTAGAATATAAAATGTTTGCTACAATATTAATTTAATTAGGTAAGTAGTTTAACTACTTTTTCAATAATTCCTTGACAACTACAGCCAAACTTGTGCGAATGTAGCAAGTTAATTATAACAGAAAGAGATAAACGATCTATTTTCTACTAAAGAATCGAAATTAATGCGTTAACCGTTTGTTACCAAATTGAACTGTGCCGAGTAAAAACCATATAGCACATACACACACAAGCATAGAAAAATCTTAACCCCCTCCCCTCGCCGCCTTCGCAATAATTAGTTTAACAGTGTTCGCCTCCCCAGCCGAGGGGGTGGGGGGTCATTTCAAACACACGAGTAATCTCGAACTTGTGTTGGATCGTGAGCAAAACTATTGGGATGTGAAAGAAA